TAAAGACCCAAATGTGAAAGGATTCGGACGCAAATTCCTCGTTTTATTTTTTATAGGGACTGTGAATATTAAGTAGAACATAAACCGATCTCTCGGGTTCACTAATAATAAAATATAAGATGAATACAACGATGTCTATGAGTTGGACTCAGGTTCGTTTTATTACAATATACATAATATTCGTTATCAGCAATCGTTATAGAAAATACGATTGTATTTTTTATGAAAATGTCTAAGATAAATTTCCAGTTTAACGGAAGTATAAGAGGATTATTTGTTAACGAGGCCTTTGTGTCGAATGACTAAAAATTTTTAACGAAAGATTTTTAAATGAACTTCGCATAATTATTAATGAACCTTAAAATAACTAGTATCGAAAATTTTTGATAGTCCTAGTCTTTGTTTGATTTATTAATTTAATCTATAGATGTGAAAAGCCAGTGTAATTTAAAATCCTTTAATTAATAAAACAAAAGTAAACAATGTTTTTATAGTTAAAAATAAACAGAATTTTAATTTGCAACAGAATTAAATTTTTTTCACTTGAACATTTGATGATAAGGAATAATGCAATGAAGCCTATTTTTTTGCTATGATTGTTATTTTTTATAAAGTAATAATATTAATGAAGTTTTTAATTAATTAAAAGAAAATATTTTTTTCAAAGGATTGAAAAATACAGCTAAAGAATAATATGCAAAATTACTTACTTATTATTATTATAAAATTTTTTTTAAAGAACTACCGCGTAAAAGAGTTTTTTAAAAAATTAATCTAATAGAAAATTCAGTGATAATTTTTAAATCTTTTCGGTGATTTTATTATTATTTTTTAAAATTTATATAAAATAAGCATAAGAGGAGATTTTTATAAATTTATCTAAGAGAATTTATTTATCTATAAGGAGCTTTGGAGAGGCGATGTTTATATTTTTTAATTTATCTAATAAAATGCTTTGAGTCAATTTTTGAATTTTTTATATAAGGCTCCAAAGAGGCGATTTTTAGAGCATTATTATTATTATTTGTTTTTAATATATTTAATTTAAAAAAAAAATTCGTAAAGTTTAGAACATGTTCAAATGAGTTTGGTACATGTTTATTATGGGGAATCCAAGTCCAAAACCTATATTAGCTAATTTGGAACGATTTTGTATTTTGTATCATAATCTAGATAAGTTTGGGAAATGATCAGATTCGGGGCTTCAATTGTCAGATTTGGGATCCCACGATTGGCTACCTGATGTAATACAGTCATAATTACGTGTATAAATAATGGATAAAATTCATCTCAAAATTCACAATCCTATGAAGAATCGACTTGCTCCCGAACGCATGCATAAATTTATATTTTGAGAAATTTAAATCGTTGGTACGTAAAGTAATTTTTTTTTTCTAATTTATGTTGCTAAATGTACAGCACCTATAATAAATACATTTCCTTTACCCAACCCACCAAATGACGTCGAGGTTAATATATTAGACTTTACGTCCAGAAAGTGACATTTTGTGCTTTTTTTTGATGTTGATGAAAGATTAAAATGACGTTATATTGCAGTTAGTTTCATCCAGCACTATTGTTTAATTTCAGTAATTAGTTTTTGCAAATTTCTTTACACATGCAAAAGACCACATCTTTTAGTTATTACTCATGCACTTTTGATAATATCCTTTAATAAATTTCTCATTTCATAAATTTTTCTTATATATTATTTTGCTGGTTGTTATCCAAGGAAAAGAGCATTTCCTTTCGGTAATATTAATTTTAATTTTGGAATGGTTTTCTCCTTTCCCTTAAAATTCCCAAAATAATTGTTATAAACTGAAGCAAATTTAAAAAAAAAATAAAAAAAAACCCTATTGAAAAAATACAAATTGACATATATATATTTCAAAATGAACCAATCTAAAGTGAATCAATTATTAAATAAAAGAATAATTTTTTTAAAAAAAAAAAAAAAAAAAAAAAAAAAAGCTCTAAGCTAATTTAATCGACCCAGTTCATTTGACCCAACTCGAGAATTAATTCGAGTCGGAATTATCAATTTTTATGACACGAAGGTCATGTTGAGTGACCGAATGATCGGGAAGATCTGAATTGATATTGTTACAATGAATATAATTCCGCCTACAGAACGATAATTCTGGCCACAAATAGTTCATGTTAATTTTTAGTTAAACTTTGAAGATCAATTTCGGCTAGCCTAAATTTATATATGATGTTCATGCTCTTTCTTTTTAATATACACAACAAAACACCTTCTTTTATACCATTGATTTTTTATTTTTATTTTTTATATTTTTTATATACATATTACTATTGTTCGTAGTTTTAGTATTTACTGAATTGATTTATTAAGCGTAATTTCGAGGCAACACTTGATAAATTAATTTTTATTGAATTATTTGACATCATAATTGCTCAATTAAAAACCTTCTGCTTACATTTAATTATTTATAAATACAAACGCAAAGCACTGAAATTAACAATAAAGCACTTTCTTTTTACATCATGTCTTGATCCCTAACCTTATTTATAAATTTGGAATATTGTCAAAGAACTTTTTGAAGAGAAAACTTTCATCTCGATGAGCTTTGTAATTCTTATGTTCTGAAGAAAGTATTATTTTTTCATTTTTTGAAAATTTTAGAGGTCATAAAAAATGACTCCGCAAGATTAATGATACAAATATAATAAATCTATGGCGATTAGATTAATGTTCAAATGAAAGGATATAACTCAATTTTACTATTAAACTTGTAATCATCATCTGCGTAAAATAAAAATTATCAATTTATTTAAATAATTGCAAAATAAAAATTAATTAATTTTCAGCATTAATATTATCCTTTAGATTCGATTCGAATCCGAGTTTAGCTATAAATCGGGTCGAGTTGAATTCGAGTTCTTTTAAATATAGACAGGTTCGAGTCGAATATGCTTCAAACCCGACCCGACTTGACCCTTAGGGATCACTAATTATTTACTAATCAATATAATGAATCTGATATAATTCTAAAGGTAAAAGAGAAAGTTTCTTAACATAATATCAGTATTAATAATATTTTTATTTTTTAACTAAAAAAAAAAAAATTTACACCGGTATTTGTTTTATCTAGACTTTTGTGCAATAGCAAAGGCCAATCAGCATCGATTTAATTATTGAGCGGGCGGACATCGGAACACTTTGCATAGAAATATATAGTCCTTCACTTCGTTCCAAACTAATAAATATTCATTATCTAAAAAAAAAATATTTGCCCGGCCTAATGTTCGAATATTTGATTCTATTAGTAATTATTTATTCATATTTTCATTTCCTTAGTTTCGTATTTAGGTCTATTTTATTAATTTTTTTCTTTTGGGTACTATTGCTCGAGATATCTATTTTTTTTTTTAAAAAAAAATTTATTCATTATTCCATTTTCGAGTCAGATCATTAGATAAGTTTTTATTTATTCTTTATTTTTATTTTTTATTTTTTAAAAATTTTTTTTTCGACCAATGACGTTTTATATTTCTGAAAATTTTTTTAATTATTTATTTTGTTCACTTTATGGGCTCCTTTACTATCGGGGTTCCTTCACTATCGCACGTTAAGTTTTTAGAGATTTTATTTTATTATATTTCTTGATCATCTGCTATTTGGTTTTGAATTATGCCTCGAGACCGTTTAGCCGCAATTACTGCGCCACAAAAAACGTTCGATTTTTTTTATTCTATTTTCAATCGATTAGTCGTGTATGCATTGACATATAAGGCATAAACATATGTATAATATTTGAATTTGATTTACTGTATAATGCGAACTAAGAAATTTTGAATGATAACACTTAATTCCTGACCTGAATTTAAAATTTGGCATGAATTAACAAAGTTTACCGGAATGAATTTTTATTAAGCCATGTCCAGGTGGGTAACCCATTTTTAAAAGTTTGTAATTTATATACCCGAACTTTCAAGGTTAACCCGGTAAACTTTGGTTAGTATCCGGGTAAATATTTTCGGTAATATTTATAAAAAAAGAATAATCGGATAGAAATCCAATAATATTAAAAAATTGATATTCTTGAAAAATTTCCTGATAAAACAAATTAATATAATTAACAAAAGTGTAGGATTATGCGGAGTTTAATGACCGATAATTTTATTTTTATTATTTCCATAATAAACACAACATTTATCTGACAACAAATAATTTCGCGCTAAAAATAAATATTGGTTTAATATTATGCAAAAAATGTTTCAGAAATACATTTATGGAAACTATGAGATTTCCTAATTAGGTTAACTTTGGATGCGCAAATAATTGAAAAAGTTAAAATCTTCCATGTATAACGGAAGATCTTTCTTAACTGACGAAAGTTCAAAACAATATAACTCGCATTAACGTATCTAATTATGCGTGGGCTTTATTTGGTAAACACTAAATGAAAATGAATTTTATTTAATTAAATTGAAACATTTTAAAAGCATTAATGACTTTGTTTATAATAAGGAGCTTATTAATTTTTATAATTAAATATCTTGACCCAAGAAAAATTAAATAATAATAGACGCAGTCAGTAAAAACAATATGTGTAATTTATAAAAAGTTGGAGTTGATTTTAGGGAGCTAGTTTGAGAAATTTAACAAATATGGTTAAGATAAATGATCCAACAAAGTTATTGGTTATAAATCATTCACAAAGCGATTGAAAAAGCTCATATAAATCTCTGTGATTTACAAAAAAACACCACACAAATACGGTCAAACTCCGAACTTTTCAGTTCATCGTCACATTTATTCAAGCTTCAAACGTAAGTGCAAAAATAAATCTCTGTATGGATAATAATTTGTTTAGTTTAGCGTACGGGATTTAATTAATCCAGCTAACTATTTTAGTTAAATATAATTAATTAATTCCAGGGTTTTTAATTTTGGATATTCACTTTCTTTTTAATTTTTGTCTTTCATTAAAATAAAAATATAAAACTTCAAGAAGTTTATCGTGGAAGTGATGGTATCTTTTAAACCGTCTAGAAATATACTCGTCAATTTCCTTAACCTGGTTGCAACGTCGTTAGTTTTCGTTTCAATACAAAGTTCGCATGCTATCACACCCCGATCGGGTCACGACTCTGTGCTATTAAACAACAAGTAGGTATTAAATATGAATAGGTACTTTTTATAAATCAAAAGCGTTAAGCCTTAAAATTCAATTTTTACCAGATTATATGTTTTTGGCGGGAAGGTAGGCGAAACGAGTAGTGCTATTGATCTTGCAGAGAATTCAAATGAACTTCTCATTCTCGATACGAAGATACCTTTTTCGGCATCGAGCCCTGCATGGACAATTAATACTGTAGGCCCAAGAGTTGCTTACCATACACTTAGTATAGGTGGACCACATAATGAACTTTTAGTTTTGTATGGTGGTGATTATGCTGACCGTGATGATAATCCATTATTTTATTATAATACTTCGGATCCATATCCTGAATGGATTAAAGCCAACCAAAGTTTAGGGTTGCAACGGATACAGCACACCGCTGTTACAAGATTAAGTGATTCCATGAATTACTTTTTTGGCGGCATACCTGACATTTTAAACCCAGATGATCCAGCAATAGTTCAATTACAAGACTTATTTAATTTGGATACCAGGAAAAACATTTGGAATATTTTAAGTTTAGATCCAAAGACGCCATCAGGAAGGTATCAACATACCGCAACAATTTTTTCAGATGGGAAAATGTATTTAACTGGAGGTGTTACCAAAAATGATAAAAATTTGACGGATGAAATGTTGGCAGACATGAATCAAATTTACGTTTATGATACAATGAATGCGAGATGGGATGTTCAGGTATTTTAAATGACGAAAAATATCCTTCTTAAAAAATTATTATCATTTTTTGTAATAAAAAATATATTTATTTTGAAGGTTGCTATTGGTAACATGCCATTACCACGAAGAGAGCATGCCGCAGCAGGAAGTAAGTCGATGGTAATAACCGCGCTTTAAATATTACATTCAACAATTTTAATTGAAGAGCATTTTCATTTATAGCGCGTGACGGTAGATTGATTATCCATGGTGGTGTCAGTCGAGACTATAATACATTTTATGATGATATCGCGGTTTTGGATATATCAAAACTACCTTACACTTGGACCGTTGTTGAAGCAAAAGGCACAAAACCTAAAGCAAGGTATTCTCATACTGCTACGATGGTTGGAACTAATATGTTGGTTTTATTCGGCGTAACCGGTACGTGTTCATTTAAGATCAATTTTTTTTTTCCATTTGTTTGCGTACGTAATTTCTTTAAATTTTATTTTTAGGTTACGCAACAGTAAATGGATTAGGTCGCGCTGTCGCAGATAATTATACCTATATCCTTGGTATATTTTTTTTATCATTTTAATAGATATTCATTATCATTCTTATTATTTATTAATAATTTTGATTCTTATTTCATTAGACACAAGAACTTTCACTTGGAAAGATCAATACAACCCAGAAAATTTGGAATTTACTGATACAGCTCCTTCTAGCAACACCCATTCTAACGTTGGTCTTCCCAATAACGCAATTTCAACAAATATGATGCATAAAGCTCCAATTGCATTAATAGTTGGTTTAACGTTAGGATCAATAGTGTTCCTTTCGTTGATAGGTGGTGGTTTATTTTGGTTTTATCGCAAACGAAAACAAGATTACTCTCATAAAGTGTATAATACGGGTACATTTAATAAAGAGCAAATGTCAAATCAAGTCATATTGACTTGACCTGACGTAGAATCCGGAATTTAGGTATAATTCTTATTTTTAGAGATTTCAAAATAAAATTAATTATGTTATATTGATTTATTTATTTATTAAATATCACTTAATTGAATAAAGTAATGAATTATAGGACTTTTATGTATTTATTAATATTCTCTTGCTAAAGTGTGTGGCTTCACCAGGTTACACGTGACTTCGGACCGGAAAATTTGTTCGACAAATAAAGTGGGTGCAAATATTTTAATATCTATTACATTGAGGGTAAAAAAAAATAAAATAAAATAAAAGGAGAAAAAATAAGAATAAATTTATAAACGAGAAAAGAAAAGCGCAGACTTTTTAAATATTATAGACTTCATTACAAACAAATTTCTCATAGTCTGTAAATTCATACATTTTTTAACATAATATATACAGAACATACAAATAAACACCTTTGTTTCTAAATATTCGTAAATTATTGCACGGGAATTATTTTCTAAAAAAATGGTTATAACAGTATATTCGATTTGTTGTGACTGAAATTGATTTTTGTCTGAAGTTGGAATTCAGAGTATCTGAAATTGAGATTCGATGATCAGTTAACTTAAAGTTCAAAAATAAAATAAAAAAAACAAAATGGAGAATTTCGATATGAAAATCGTAAAATTGAAAAAAAAAGTGTTTTTAAATGTTTAAAGAAAGAACTTATACAATTAAACATATAAAGTTCAAAAATAAAACCAAATGAGAATTTCGATATGAAAATCGTAAAATTAAAGGAGTTTTAATTTTTCTTAAATTGTTGAATAAAAAAAAAAAGAGATTTCTTAAATTTTGAGTGAAAGAATTGGATACCGAAATGGTATAAATGCATGTGATCTCCCTGGCATCTTGTAATTTTTTCCGAGCCTTCGAGTTTTCGACAAGGGAAAAAAATTATTTCAAAATTATTTTACTATGAAGAAAGGTTTATTATACATTCTTATAAATTTTCATCGGTAGTTATTGTGAATCACCGTAGAACATGATTTTAACATGTCATACCTTCTAATCTTACGGCGTTCCATATAAACGATGATGGCATTAATTATTCGAAGTTTCTTTTGGTCAGGGAACTTCAAACTATAAGTCATGAGATAACATCACTATGTGGGGGTGTACCTATGATTGCAACTTTAGCTTTATGGTGAAAGTAAACAAGGAAGATCTTACGGTTTCGTCGTATACCGAAAAAAAACCAAAACAACTACAAATGTAATTTGAGTAATTATACGATAAAACTTATTCCAACCCCTAAAATTACTCATAAGGCTAGAGTACCGAACCCAGTTCATCCATTTCCAACTGATCTAACTGCCTAGCATTGCAGCGAAGGTAAACACCCAGATGAACCAGGTTCACAGAAAATGTAGCCGAATGCATCGATAATTCGGTTGTCAGGAAATTGGAACATATGCTGCATCTCTTTAGTTTGTTCGGGCAGGACGTTCAATCCGGATGGTTATGATGTTGCTACATATCACATGATTAATTCGGCAAACAAGGTATTTAATTATTGGGAGAGACACCATCGAGGGTACCATAATGCCCCTAAAGAACTAAGCGTTAAAATGACTCTGATAATCTAAATCAATTGATCCTACCGCCGCCGCCATCGCCTAAAGTTAACTTGCTCAAAGCGACTTTAATTGATGCAGGCGTTTTCATTAGTTTACTTGCTCTTTTTCTTGGTGGATCATATTTATTAATTACTCCCGATGCCTTGGCAACCGCTACAGTCGCTGCCGAACTCGCTGTTGCAGAAGATGTTTTATCAATAACAACTGAAGGATCGATAGAAATGGTTGAAGCAGAAACTTGGGCAGCTGAAGCGTTAGAAAATCCAGCCAACCAATTTAGGAAGATTCAGAGTTGGTTGTTCTACAAGCAGAGAATTATGCGAATCTTCTGCAATGAGGGAAATGTCGATATACTGTCAAGAATCCAGTAGCCCAAATATTCAAGAAACCCTTGAATCTTTGAGAAGGGCATCGGATTCCCCAATAGAAAAGAGGAATACGAGGGGATACGAGAGTGATGGATAATGTAGGATTTTTTTACTGTTAACATGGTAAGTAGTTACTTCCTTCCAAGTTTGTTGGACAATGTTCGTCAATCATTTACGGAAACGGGCAAACCTATACAGATATTTCATCATATCTATCAGCCGCAAGTGAAAATCTCCAATTTCATTATGAAGATACATTACACAATAATTTTTTTGCTGAAACAAGTCAATATTAGCTAGTTTTACTCTTAATAAAAGGGTGGTTATGAATCACTTAATTATGCTTTAAGTATAATAAGATTACACATTTCCAGTTTAATGACAAAATTTAATAGTATTTACGTTAAGTATGCTGATTAAAAAAATTGAAGAAATATGTTTAAAATTTGATTTATATTAAAAAATAATTGATTGATCAAATATGATTTGAAAGTTCTTTTATTTTATTATTTATTTTATTATTTAAAATGACAAGATCTTAATTAATGGAAGGTGGACCAAAGTCTATTTATTTTCAATAGTCTTTGTGATTTTTTTTTTTTTAAAAAAAAAAAGAATGATTTCTGATTGTTTTCATACAAAAAAGTCCAAATTTATTTGAATAAAGGTGTCATAACCTATTTTTAAAAAATTATTACTTATAAAGTTGTCGATTTGATAAATTATTATCAAAAATTTGGAGGTTGTATTTACTAATAGATAATGGAATTTATATTAACAAAATTGAAAATGATCGGTAAAATGACAGCAAAATGATCGACATTCATGTGATAAAATAAGGATATGCTATATTATCGAAATCTATTCCAATCCCTATTCTGGATAGGATCGACATTCCAATTAGAGTTGACATTTTGGATTGTCATTTTATTAAGTAAAAAAAGCGATTTTTAATGTTGAATGAAAAAAACTGATACAATTTAAAACTTATAAAGTTCAAAAATAAAATAAAATAAAACCAAATGCAATATGAAAATCGTAAAATTAAAGGAGTTTGACAACATTTTCTTAAATTGTTGAGTAAGAAAAAAAGAGAGATTTCTTAAATGTTGAATGAAAGAATTGGATACCGAAATGGTATAAATGCATGTGATCTCCCGAGGGTTATAAACAGTATATAAAGTCTTCGAGATTTCGACAAGGGAAAAAAAATTATTTCAAATATTTTACTATGAAGAAAGGTTTAATATACATTCTTGTAAATTTTTCGTCGGTAGTTATTGCTGATTGGATCACCGTAGAACATGATTTTAAGATGTGTGACCAGGTCATACCTTCTAATCTTGCAGCGTTCCATATAGACAATGATGGCATTTATTATTCGACGTCTCTTTTGGTCAGGGAACTTCAAACTATAAGTCATGAGCTACCATTAACAACTGTAAACGTCACTATGTGGGGGTGTACCTATGATTGCAACTTCAGCTTTATGGTGAAAGTAAACAGGGAAGATCTTACGGTTTTGTCGTATACCGAAAAAAATCATAACAACTACAAATGTAATTTAAGTAATTACACGATAAAACTTATTCCAACCCCTAAAATTACTTATAAGGATAAAGTACCGAACCCAGTTCATGCATTTCCAACTGATCTAACTGCCCAGTATTGCAGCGAAGGTAAACACCCAGATGAACCCGGTTTTCCAATTAAAACTGCAGAAAATGTAGCCGAATGCATCGATAATTTGGTTGGTCAGGAAATAGGAACATATGCTGCATCTCTTCAGTTTGGTTCTGGCAGCTCGTTCAATCCGGATGGTTATGATGTTGCTACATATCATATGATTAATTCGGCAAACAAGCTATTCAATTATTGGGAGAGACACCATCGAGGGTTTCATGATGCCCTTACAGAACTAAGTGTAAAAATGACTTCTAATAATCTAAAACATTTGATCCCACCGCCCCCGCCACCGCCTAAAGTAAACTTGATCAAAGCGATTTTCATTGATGCAGCCATTGGGATCGGTTTACTTGCTCTTTTTTTTATTGGATCATATTTTTTAATTGACGCCAGTCCCATGGCAACCGCTACAGTCGCTGCCGAATTCGGTGCTGCAGAAGATGTTATAGCAGTATCATCTGAAGGATCGATAGAAATGGTTGAAGCAGAAAATTTTGCAACTGCGATAGAAGAAAATCCAATCAATTTAGAAAGATTCGAAAACATAGTAATTGATGGAGAAGGTTGCTCTAAAAACATAGAATTGTGTGAATCTTCTGCAATGAGGGAAATGTCGACATACTATCAAAAAACAGCCAATCCAAATTTACAACAAACCCTTGCATCTTTGAGTAAGGCTTCGGAATCCCCAATAGAAAAGAGAGATACGGGGGATACGAGAGTGATGGATAATGCAGGAATTTTTACGGTTAACAAGGTAAATAGTTACTTTCTTCCAAGTTTGATGGACAATGTTCATAAATCATTTACCGGCAACGGGCAAACCTATCCAGATATTTCATCATATCTATCAGCCGCAAGTGAACATCTCCAATTTCATTTTGAAGATACATTACACAATA